CTTTGTATGAAAAATTCCACCTTCACACATAGTTTTAAAGTACATATGAGGACGTCATTTGTAAGTTGCTAGTGAGAATTTAAACTGTGACTTTATAAATGAAGATCGTCAACACAGGGTTAAAATTCTGAGATTCGGTATTGTTAATTTCTTTCTATTTTCTATTTTCTTTTTTTTGTTCTAGTTACGACATATTAGGATCGTGGCAGCCCAGGCTGATAGTGTTGTTCTTACCGTGTAACACTTTCCTCATGATAAGATCCCACAGACTTCAAAGTCCAACCCTCTTGTCTTCCATTGGTCTATCAATATGTAAGCCTTCTCGGGATTTGTAAACCGCATGATACTCCAGGTTTCTAACGGTCGATTTCAAAATCTAGCTTCCGAAGTTGTACATTCTCGATACTGATGGAATAGTTACATAACCAACTTAAAAGAACTTAACAAAAACTAGCGAACCCAAATCTGAAAGCAAAGTTTCCTAACCTTCAGAACATTAATAACAACATCCATGTATGTGACAACTCTTGCTTATTATATCAGGTAATTAACAAAGTTAATTAAACTCTGTAAGATTTGAGGCTTTCACGGCGGTGACTATGAAGAAAGCAGTCTTCTGGGATTTGGCACCGTGTATATGTGGTGTTAACCGACGTTTCGGAGGAACGTACCGCCTCCATCCAGCCTGCTTTTACCGGTTCTCACGGTCTCTTCGCTTGCGGATTTCTTATATTTTTCCTTCTACCCTGAAGATGGAGGCGATACGTTCCTCCGAAACGTCGGTTAACACCACATATACACGGTGCCAAATCCCAGAAGACTGATTTCTTAATTAAACTCCTTTGAATTTTTAACTCGCTGTGATTTCTGTGGCCGAAGATATGAGAAAAGCATTCGCAAATTAAATGACTGATAATGGGCTTGTGTGGGTGCTGCTGTCGTGTTTAGGGTTGGCACTGGGTTGAATGAGGGTACAGATTCGGGTGTATGAGGTATAATCGTGTAGGCTTGTGTGTGTATGTGAGTGTGTGAACCCTCAAGCTGCACCAAGGCCTCCAGGATCGTAACTACTCTATTTCTTTTTTGTAGTTTTTATTCCGACACTCTCAGTATCTAGACAATACAGTTTTTAATCGTAAGATGGTAGGTGAACGTTGACTTGCAAAGGATCTGGGAGGAAGCGATTTTATAATTGGGATCCTATCCTGGCATTTGATAGGTGTTACGGATAGAAACTACGAAAAATGTTACCCAGGACACTCGGTGCGACGGACGAGATTACAACCAAACACGTCCCGAATACAAGTTTAGAGTGTTAGTTTTTTAGTTAATTTCGTGGGGTGGGGTGAGACTGAGTCTACTTGGTACGTCGGCCATTAATCGACATATTGTACCAGCCCCTTGTTAATAGATGAATATGCAGCAGTTGATGAGAATGAGAATTGGCTGGGGAAACCGAAGTACTCGGAGGAAACCTGCCCAACAGCCACTTTGTCCACCACAAATCCCAAATGACCTGTCTTGGATAGAACATGGGCCTCCTTGGTAGGAAGCCGGCGACTAACTGCCTGCCTATGACATGACCATAGTCTACAGTGTTACCGTTGCATTTGTTATGAGTGTAATGATATCTCAGGTAAGTTAATGAGCACCTGAAAAACAAGCACAAAAATCGATGAAGACGGACCATCACTCTAATATTTTGTCTTCCGACCGTTCAAATAATAAACAGTAATGACGGGTAGAGAGTTTTGGCAGGAATTTCTGAAGTTGTAGGAAAATATGGGCACTGCTGTTGCGCATCACGTGACATCCATGACAGCAACGCGCATATATTTTGTATACTTACTTACTTACTTACTTACTCATGGAGCTGAGCCCTTCTGGTGGAGCCGTCAATTCTGCAGCTACTCAAGAATTTCCCAGCATTTTATGGAACCCGAAGGTTCATTACCGTGTTCACAAGAGCTCTCCACTGGTCCCTATCCTGAACCAGATCAATCCAATCCATACCATCCCATCCTATCTCTCTAAGATCCACTCTAATATTGTCCACCCACCTACACATTGGTCTTCCCTGCGGTCTCTTTCCTCCCGGCTTTCCCACCAATATCCTATACGCATTCCTCGTCTCCCCCATTCGTGCTACATGACCTGCCTACCTCGTCCTCCTTGACTTGATCATTCTAATTATACTTGGAGAAGAATACAAGTTATGAAGCTCCTCATTATTCAGTTTTCTCCAACCTCCTGTCACTTCATCTCTCTTCGGTCCAAATATTCTCCTCAACACCCTGTTCTCAAACACCCTCAGTCTCTGTCCCTCCCTTAATGCCAGAGACTAAGTTTATATAGCTTAATATAAAACGGACTGACAATGAATGGCATAACCTTAAGTGTGGTGGTACGACTGGCAACTGTCAAAACAAATAAAAGAGCCTCTCTTTCTATATGTACTTTCGAAAGATAAGGAATTATGTTAAAAATTTGAGAAGTTATCATCTTGTGTACTAACAAAGGGTGTTAACGGTTTCCGACCTAGGCTCTGTTTCCTGTGCAATCATTTTTCCAAGTAATTTCTAACCTTCAGGAATCGGGAACGGGAAATTTATCGAAAATACGCTTTTTAATATAACATTCACTCTTTCCGCTCCTAGACAACGAAAACAAGAATGTCGAAAGGGCTTAAAATATACACGTGAAAGATCACATAGGTATTTAGGCAAAATAACGTTATTGCGAGAAAACTCTTACATTATTGCTGGAATCCAGAACCTGCCTGGAGGCCTAAAGGTAGCAACCATACCATTGGACAGTCAATACAGGGTGTCCGGATGAAAGGTATCCAAAATAAAATAATTATATCTCAGAAAGATTTTATTATACACATTTATGGGTTACACCACTACAAAGGGAAACTATCAAAGTTTTTTTCTGAGTATATAACTTTCTCAATAAATTTCAACGTGGGCTCCCTTGGTGGCACGACAAATATGCAGAGGATCCAGCATGTTTGGTGTTACCGTAGGCACAGCGTCCCTTGTGCGGGCTTTGAGGTGTTGCAGGTCGTTGATCTTAACCTGATAGACAATGTTCTTCACATAACCCCACAAGAAAGAATTCAGTGGGGTTAAATCTAGCGACCTAGGAGGCTAAGCGATTGATCCTCTTCTGCCGATCTATCTCCCAGCCATCACACGGTCCAAGTGATTCCTAACATGGTGGCAGAAATGTGGCGGCGCATGCGTGTAAGCCGGGCACGGGGGGAAAAACAACTTACAGGGGTTTCCTTTCCGATGACATAAACCGGATACGTGTGTGACAATTACTCTCCGAGATTTAAATTTTTTATTTTGGATACCTTTCTTCTGGACACCCGATATTTGGCTAACAATCAACTGGTTGGACTTCTAACTGATTTCAGGTTATTACGTAAACAAGCAACTAAACGAGAAATTGAAGTTTGGGAACACCTCAGAAAGGATGGAGGAATTCTGTTTTGTAATATTCATAACCGGTTTCAACAGGCGATTCTCAGCCTTTTGCATCTTGCGTTCTACCAGTTACTTTGAAAAACCGTAGTGACGTCGTTGTGAACATCAAGCGCTTTTTACATCTTGGCAAGAAGCATCTTTAAAATTATATGCATTTTAATATTACTATTAGGAGTTTGGATAGCTCAGTCAGTATGGCATCAGGGCTGGACGGCCGGGCTTCTATTCCCTTCAGAAGCAAGGTTTTTTCTATTCTCCATAGCGTCTAGACGGGCTCTGGGGCCTACCCAGTACCGGGGCTGGTTTCGTCAGGAATAAAGCGGCCTGGTCGTGAATCTGACCACTCACCTCTATCAACTACCGAGGTCAAGAATGGTGGAGCTATACCTCCATTCCCTTATACATCTTCATGGCACCTTACCTTTGGTAATTTATTACTCTTGAATGGAAGACCTTGTTTTCGAGATCTGATATCGTACGCAGGACGGCCCCTGTGGTCTAATGGTCAGAATTCCTGGCTACATATCCAGAGGTACCGGGTTCGATTCCCGGCGCTAACAGATTTTCTGAGAAGGAGTGGGTCTGGAACGGGGTCCACTCAGCCTCGTGAGGATAATTGAGGAGCTATTTCAAGAAAATAGCGGCTCCGGTGTAGAAAACCGAGATTAACGGCCCTGGGGATCCGTTGCGCTGACCATGCGACACCCTCTATCCGCTAAAGTTGGCACTAACTTCGCCCACAAGCGGAGGTTGCTCGATCGGTATAGTTCGCTTACAGACTACAGGCCACGGATTTTTTATTCCACTGGTTCAGATTTGTGTGCGTGTGGAACTGGATATCTCCTATTAATGGAAGAACTTATACAAGATGCTGTGGGGAATATTTTGGCCTGCGAGGGAGGAAATAACATGAGGCTGGAAACAGCTCATAACGAGGACTTCCATAATGTGTAATTCTCGTCTTGTATTAGAATAAACAAATAAAGGAGTCTGAGATATGCTGGACATGTAGCACGCATGAGACTGAAGATAAATGTATGCTACGTTCCGTTAGGAGAGCCTGAAGGAAAAGGAACGTTTGGAAGATATAGGCGTAGATGGGATGTTAGTGTTAAAATAGATCTGAAAGAAATCGGTTGAGATGGTGTGAACTGGGTTCACCTGCATGGACAGCATTCTTTATAGTTCTGTTAACACAACACAATTTCCAGCAGCTGCTTGCGGTCTAGGATGATGTGTTACGGTAATATGTGCCGAAAATAGTGCTGAAAATTGTGTTGTGTTGACAGGAATAAAATAAACATCTATAGTGATTTACACTGTATATGAATGCATTCATCTGGCTTGGGATAGGGTCCTTCGCGGAATTTTGTGAACAAGGCAATGAACCTTCAGGTTTTATAAAATGTTTGGTTTTCCTTGACTATCTGAGCAAATGTCAGCTTCCTAAGAAGGACTGTGTTGCTTTTGGTTAGTCCTGTGAGACACGTAGCGGGCTATACTTACATCCGAACCAGCATTTTGTAACGCCGAAGCCGGGCTTGATATACTCGTCGGGTATGCCAGGCACTAGATCCAACATCATACACACGAGTAGCATGATAAAGGGAGCTCCCCACGCGTAGATGGAGTACATGATGAACTTTTTGTGTTCGCGCTCCTTTACAGATCCATGGATAGGCCGCAAACCACTGAAACAATGCAGAAAACATCCCTTGTCACTAAGACGTGGGAACTTTTCTGTAAATAAATAGGCTTAATGATAAGTCAGTGGAAATAAGAGCAAGCCATAAAAGAAATAGTAAAAGTAAAGCTATCGCTGTATCAGGCCGTGAAGGCCCATAGGGTTGTGAGACGTTGACGGTCCCACATTATCTAGACCAGTGTTCCGCAACCTTTTTCTACTCGCGGCACACCATGAAGTATCCATGACTCAACACGGCACACCAAAATGTTATTCCCCTCAAAAACGCATGATATCAGACAATTAATATAAATACGTAACGTGATCAACTTATTACTATAATATTATTATATTGTTATTTTATTATCATTAAACAGAAATCGACTCGTGCATTTATTAACAATTAATGAACTTTAATTCACTGTAGAGTGTAGAAAATACACTTCTATTACTATTAAAGTAAATACAGTAATTCTACTCATAACTTCAATGTGATACTTGCGCCTGCGTAGCTGCACACAGGCGACTGATCCGTGGTGGAATCGTTGACAACGCAAGTCTCATTTCTTCATCGATGGATTTGAGCCGCTCCCTCTTTGATGTCTTAATTTCAGTTAACGTCGAGAAGCCCAGTTCACACAAATATGTAGTTGAAAATGGCAATAACACATTAACTGCCATCTCGGAGATAGCCGGGTATCCACTCCTTATTGCCAACCAAAACGTATCCAAAGGCACTTCGAGAAGTTTTAGTTTCAATGTTCTGTCTGCTTTTAAATCTGCGAGTTCCTCTTATATATTAATCGGAAGATGTTCTGAATTCGCAACGAATGGATCACGAACCCAGTCGAAATCTTGTACACTCTCTTCAAATTCCTTATTGAATTTCTGCTGCAGCATTTCTAAATGTTCTTTAATTGTGTCCATCACCACTTCATTGCCGTCAGCAAGTGGCCATACAGTCGGGGACATCTCAAACGACCCATCTGTAATTCCCTAACTAGCAACCAAAATTTGCGAACTACTTCAGAGCACAGCTGTGATAGAACTGAATCAATTGTAAAACGCGGGATCTCTACTCTTCAAACGGAAGAAGTGACACTATACCGACTTATTTTTGAAATATTTATAATTTTAAATGAAGTCCAACAATCGGTGGGTGCATCGTTACAGGAAGAAAGTCATAAAGTTCAAGAAGCTCTAACTTCTAACAAACAGGGGCAAATACCCAAACAGCGTTATAAAAGACAGGGAAACCCATGCTAATCCCTGCAGTTTTAGGGAAAAGCACGTACACAGAACATGCGGCAAGCATATCAAAGAAGCTGCGTAGATGCGAGAAAAATAAAAATAAATCAATAATGAAAACTACGATATAACAACAGCTGTGAGTAAATAATCTTAGTTTAATTTCTTAGAATACAACATTACTGTACATAAAAACTCATAGCATGTAATAAAGAATAAACAAGCATCATCTTATTTAATCAGTGCAGTGGCTGAGAATAAAATACAAGCATATGAAACACGGTAACTGGGATAAAATAAAATGAATAAAATTCGACAATTAATTTCTTACAATAGGTAAAAGTTCGCGTCACACCTTTCACCTTGTGACGGCACACCAGTGTGCCGCGGCACGCCGGTTGCGGAACACTGATCTAGACAATCGGCACAAAGATGGCGGTAAACTTGTCAGCCTTACGCGCCGGCCGCACTTTACTTTCCAGGAAAATTATTTAATTAATTCCTGGTACTCATTTCTGTTAGAGGCTGAGTAGACCCCAGGGCCATAGTGCGGCTGGAAGGATTAAATCTATTGAAAAAATCCAATGACCTCATCGGGACTTGAACCCACGACCTTCCGGCTTGTAGATACTTATTTTATTGTTTTCTATCCCTGTAACATGCCGCTGGCAGCCTAATGCCGAGTCTGGTTTATTCGACTCGACATTAGTCTGTCAGCACGCTGGTTCCTCATTCGCGGATTTTCTCTTTTATTCTACCCTGAAGATGGAGGCGATACGTTCCTCCGAAACGTCGGTTAACACAATATCTACACGGCTCCACATCCTAGAAGACGGCTTTATTCATAGTCACCGCCGTGAAAACCTCAAAACTTACACAGGTTTTGATGTGTTATCGTCGTTCCCAGATATCTTCATACATTTTGAGTTTCTTTTTATGAAATGATGTCACAGTCCTGGGCAGGTATATTCTACTTTATATTACTGTAGAGGATTGTAGCAAGCTTACCTGAACGTCCACCAGATGTCAAAACACATCACGTTCAGCCAGAAGAAACTTGCGTGGAAGGCAAAGAAGATAGTGAAAGCTGCAAGGGAAAAAATGAAACAGATTTTGTTTAAAATTATTTATCACATAATCCAGTCAAATTTCTTTCTAGGCAGCAGTACCAAGATACCTAACATCAGTCTCATTCCACTGTTACAACTTACAGAAAACTGGAGACCAAAGTCCTTCTTGAGAAGCTGTGAGTTTCTCAGCTAAATACGAAATTCCGAGCTCCTTATGAAATCCAAGTTTCATTATCGTATTAAAAAAAACCCCCACCACGGATTCCATCTTGAATGATCCAGTTAACCATTTGATGCAAAAGCATATCTAAATGCTATTTAAAAATTCAGATCCTACACCACAGGAAACATAATGCGTGTCCAATTGTGAAGAACTACCAGTTAACGCTGCATGAAATAAATTGTGGTATGTAGACCCTGTCGCTTGAAAACGACCAAGAAATAAGCAGCTATGTCACAGTCGTTACTACGGATAAGTACTGCTTCTGTAAACGACAGCCCTTTCCTGTATATATTATCTAAATTAAAATTTTCGATGTCGAATCAAGCTTATTAGCTTTTCTTTTGCTCTGAGAAAATTCAGAATTTTGGTCGAAGGTGGAATATCTACACCAAGAGATATACAAGCAGGGGTGTCACAAGGTTCCGTCCTGTCCCCCCTATTGCACATGATACGCCCCAAACACCTGATTTCTATCTAGGTCTATTTGCTGTTGACACCTGTATATATGCGACAGACCGCGAAAAGGGTTATGTTTCCACAAAGCTGCAGCGAGGTCTCACTGTAATTGAGACGTGGTGTGAAAGCTGGAACATAAAAATCAGTGAAGATAAAGACTGAAACAATATAGTTTTCTTATAAACTTAGGCCCCCTGAGGCTCATCTTACAATGAATGGACGGAATATCTCCTTCGTCAATCATGTACATTATCTGGATGTAATTTTTGATAAATGATGGAGACTGCACATTGAAATGACGGAAGTCTAGGCCTTCAGAACACTTATCAGAATCTAGTTCCTATTCAGAAGTGAGTGTTCAGGCGTCAACTTTAAGTAACCCTCCCTAAGGCACTGATCAGATCAGTAATGACTTATGCTTGTCCCGCTTGGGAATTAGCGGCAGAAGCCTAACTCTTAAAACTGCAGCGCCTGCAAAACAAAGTTTTCCGCACCATTGGAAATTTTCCAAGGTTCACACCAGTCCGCGATTTTCGCACGGCTTTCAACCTTCCGTATATATACGCACATAAAACAAAATTGAGGAGGCAACAAGCGGAAGTAACACAAAATCATGGGAATGAACATGTTCGCGGTATAGGATAGAGCGAAGCCAAACACAGAAAACATAAGAGACTTAAACTTGGCGGTGGTCAAGCCAAGATACTTTCATACTTTCAAGTGACTAAGCTGCCGCTGTTACATAAGATACGTAAGATAGACATGATCTGCTTTGCAAAACCTGCACTGACAGAGGACTTGTATATAGTGCACAAGGAAGAATTTTCCATAACACGCTATGTGTGCCATACGTACACTTGACAAAGGCCAAGCCTATTCATAAGAGAGAAACACATCCTCTCGTTAGGGGATGTTCATAAGGACTATGACCGCAAGGGTTCGGTTGAAAAAAATAATCTCTGGTCGTGATCCTCAAGCGGCTGACGGCAAGAAGAAGCGATTGGCTATAAGTCGCCAGTCGTAAAGTAAAGCTGATTCTGTGTTCAGTTGTGAGTCAGTCGCCAGCCGGTAAGAATGTGAGCAAGAACGCAAAGGACTTAGTTGGGATCCATTACCAGGCAATGACTGGCGAAGACACAGCAGTCTGCGGTGAACAGCAGGGTATGTGAATTAGCGTTAGCGCTATAGTTACTTGTAGTTACAATCTGTAAGTGTTCAATCAATTCAATTACCAATACAAACCCCGTCTATAGTCACTCATACACGGACACTATAAATACAGTGCACAAATAGCAGGGATTTGAAAGTTAAAACAGGTGGTACATGTAGTAACCTCTGTGTTTTAAAGGGCTAAAATCGATATTGTTATTTTCATGGCAGTCTTTTGGCAGTAGTAAGAGCAAGAGAGAAATGCTATCAAATAAATACTGAGACACGTTTTTAATGTATTTTTTTTTTAAGATTTGTGTCTTCGTAGCATGGTGCTTAATTAATCGGACAGATCAGATGTCGTTGCCGTATGTCCGTAATAATAAATTAATGTGACTGATTTGTTAATGGATTGTGTAAAAGTGTTCTCCAGTTGTATAAATTACGAAATGTCAAGATTGAATTCTTTGATATCGGGTGGAAGTTAGCGATGTAAACGAAATTGCATGCTTTATTTTTTCTGCTCAAATTAAAAACACACACAAAAAAATGAAGGGTGTAATTTTTAACTTGTGCCTCACAGTACATCAGCTATTCATACACTTCAATAAAGCCTATGATTCAGTTAGGAGGAAAGTATTGTACAATATTCTGATACAGTTTGGGGTACCCATGAAACTAGTTAGTCTGATTAAAATGTGTTTAAAAGGAAGCTATAGTGAAGTCCATATGGGTAAATATTTGTCTTATAATTTTCCTATCCAGAACGGACTAAAATAAGGAGATGCTTTATCGCCACTGCTTTACAACTTTGCTTTAGAATATGTTGTTAGGAAGGTCCAGCAAAAGCAGGTTGGACTGAAGTTAAATGGGGCACATCAGCTGTTCTATGCTGATGATGTGAATCTATTGGGTGATAATATATAAACCATAAAGAAAAACACACAAAATTTAGTTGACGCTAGTAAGGAGGTTGGTCTAGAAATAAACAGAGAAAACTAAGTGCATGTTGCTCTCTCGTCACCAAAATGCAGGGCAAAATCATGACGTAAAGACAGGTAACAGATGTCATGAAAATGTGGCACAGTTCTGATATTTTGGAACGACGATAACAAATCAAACTCTGATTCAGGAGAAAATTAAGAGGAGACTGAACCCGGGTAATGCTTGCTACCATTCAGTCCAGAACCTTTTGTTTTCTCGTATGCTGTCTAAAAACATAAAATCTCAGAATATTCAAAACTATAATTTTGCCTGTGGTTCCGTATGGGTGTGAAACTTTGTCTCTGATATTGAGGGAGGAACACAGACTGAGGGTGTCTGAAAATAGGGTGTTGAGGAGAATATTTGCACCGAGTACGGAAGAAGTGACGGGATACTGGAGAGAACTGCATAATGAGGAGCTTCATAACGTGTACTCTTTGCTAATTTGAATGATTAAGTCAAGAGGATGAGATAGTCAAGGCATGTAGCACCAAAGGGGAAAGAGGAATGCATATAGGATTTTTGTGGGAAAGCCAGAAGTAAAGAGACCACTAAGAAGACCTAGACGTAGGTGGGATGATAATATTAAAACTGATTTTAGGTAAGATGGAGTGATATGGACTGGATTGATCTGGCTCAGGATAGGGGCCAGTGAATGGCACCTGTGAACACGGTAATGAACGTTCGGGTTTCATAAAACTCTGGGAAATTTTTCAGTAGCTGCACAATTAGCGGCTTCTCAGGAAGGGCACAGCACCGTGAGTGAGTTTTTCATTTGTGCTCTGAGTATTTCAAATGGGCAACTGTGTATAGTTAACCCACTTGCTAATGGTTGCATAAAAATTATAATTAAAGTGTACAATTGTGTTCACTGTTTCATGTGGGTTCGAAATTTCTTCTCTCACTCTAAAATCGAAGGAAAACATCTGATAAGGGAGACAAATTAACAGGGGATTGAGCAAAATCTCCTTTTTCTCTACTGGCGCTACCGTCCTGTGTGGGTCTTGGCCTCCTCCGTGGTTTCGAAACGGTATATTTTTCCAGGGTGCGTTGCTAGCCCCACGCCCAACCTCAGGTTTGAGAACAAGGGACTACATTTCGTCCGGACGCTACCCTCTGACCTGTCTAGAAGGGTTGTTCTACCAGGAGCTTAAGCTCCCGCCAGCATACCTCTCCAGGTAATTTTAACGCCCAAACCTCCTCTCAAAATTGAAACTGTAGACCTCGAGCAGGTATGGGGAAAATTACAGAAAGAAATATTTCATATGTCGTCGAGTCATCGCTAGGAAGTTACTATTTTTTCAACATACTTCCGGTATTCTACGCAGGTGGATATTAAAGTATAATTAAACCGGACATTTGTGCCGGTTCATACACAATGTATGAACGTAATCTGGTTCTTAGAGTAGACTGAGCCAAGCTTAAGAATACATCTGTTTACAGACGTTTATCAAGGGCGATGGTGATATATTTTAAGAATATAACCATTGTGCAAAAAAATACATTTTAATTATGAACAGAAATAAAATACAACAGAATTTATGGTACTGAATATGGACCCTGGAGCCGCTGAGGACGTCACAGGGAAGAGAAAGCTATGTGTCTCAGCCGAGAGTCGAACACTAATCGTAAAACGCATAGCCAGTCACTGTATAAGACATGTCCGGTTGTTTCATTCCATAGCAGGCACGGGCTCCACCAGGAAAAATTTTAATTATATTGATTTGAGGGATATTTTGTACATTTTATTATTGTAAATATTTCTTTCTTTTTTATTTTAATCCAGAGGGGCGTCCTCTCGCTGTTGCCCATGATAGCAGCATAGTGTGGACGTATACGTTTCATTGTTCGAGAATTGTAAGTGCGGCACTTAACAGATGTAAGATAAATCTTCTTACTTTGTATTATAAAAACTGCAGTCAGACTTTGGTGTTGACATTTTATATCGACACAGCCCTTCATCAAATATGTTGAACTTATATACTTGCTGATAATCTGTTTGATACTGCAAAACATGTCCAATCATATCTATTTCTTCTGCGGGAATTCTGAAGTAGATACTAAAACCAAATAACACAATAAACTATCTTGCCACTCGCCAAAACATGACACATGCTCGGAAACTTATACATCCGGAAATTCTATTTATCATATTTTTCTAAGATATTGAGACCTTACCAAGCCGGTTGGCATAGCGACAAGGCT